GGGGGAAAGGGGTTGAGTCTGAAGCCAGCAGGGCTCTGTGTGCTCTTGTCTTATGTGCTCCCCATTGCTTGGCATGGCATCCCGGGACTTGTGCTGCTCCAGCCTGGCCATTCATCCCTCTTTTAAGAGGACTCCATGGCACCTTCAGCCTGTGGTGTGGCAGGTGTCCCCTCCTCCTCCTCCTCCTCAGGGGGCCCTTGAGTAGTGACTGGGGGTCCTGTGGGAGCTGACTGCTCCCAGAATCGGGCCAGAGTGAGGCGGAAGGTGTCCAGGTGGCCATTGGAGAGGTCAAGGCCAGCAGGGGACGGGGCGGAGGTCGGGGGTGGGGGGTAGTGAGGTGGTGCATCATCCTTGCGGCGCCTTCGGGTGCGCACCTCCAGGCAGTTCTGGCCTTTGAGATGGCGCTGCAGGTGGTCCTCCTTGGCGAAAGCCTTGTGGCACAGGTGGCACTCATAGGGCCGGTCCCCAGTGTGCAGGTGCATGTGGTTCTTGAGGTCATAGCTATGCAGGAAGCGGGCTGGGCAGTGTGGGCACGAATAGGGGCGCTCTCCTGTGTGTTTCCGCATATGGATCTTCAGCTTGTCATTCCTGGAGACAGGCAGGGGGAAAGGCGTAAACATTCAGGACTCCTGGCCACCCCCAGGCCTTGTCCCCCTCTCACTCCTCATTATGTCCCCATTACAGCCCCAGGGTGCCCTTTTTGATTGGCCTTCAGCTTAACGGGCCCTGCCACCATCTGCTCCTCTCTCTTCTTAGGCTCTAGACCATTTACACTCAGTCCCCCTTGGTTGCCTTTAGACCATTTACACTCAGCCCCCCTTGGTTGCCTTTAGACCATTTACACTCAGCCCCCCTTGGTTGCCTTTAGACCATTTACACTCAGCCCCCCTTGGTTGCCTTTAGACCATTTACACTCAGCCCCCCTTGGTTGCCTTTTGGCCTCCCAGGAACCCACAAGAGAGCTGGTCCCCACTAGAACCACCTGCTTTCACTCAGACCTCACGTCTCACACTCACCCACCCTCAGTCCATTCTGGGCCCTGGCCCACATGGTGCTCACCTGGTGAAGCGGACGCCGCAAACCTCACAGGCAAAGGGCTTCTCACCGGTATGGGTCCTCATGTGGCGTGGCAGTTTGCCTGCCCCATGGATTATCTTGTGACAGACTGGGCACTCTTGGGGCATCTGTGAACGGCGTTTACGCACCAGCTTGTCTTGGCCATCCAGGCCTGGTGCCAGGGCGTCCTGGTGCAGGGAACTTAGGTAGGCCATCAGGTCGGGATCGATGGTGTCTTCATCTGAACCCAGCTCCTCTGGTGACAGTGAGGGCTCGTTGCTCTGTGCTAACCCATAAGCTGGGGGATATGCCAGCTCCTCCTCTTCTTCCTCACCCTCACAGACCTCATAGTTCAGGGGCCCCTCAGGAGGTGAGGCAGCGCTTGTGGGAGGACTGTAGTTGTCCCCAAGCCCACTGCCTCCACTGTTGCCCACTCTAGCAACCATCCCTTCTTCTTCGAAGGTCAGAGGATGGGAGAGTACCGTGGGTGCCTCAGGGACCAGATGGTTTGCCCGGGCCCCCTTGGTTTGAAGAAAAGCTTTTCGGGGCTTGCGGCTGCGGCGGGCGACGGGTCGAGGTGGTGGTGGTGGTGGTAGGAGGAGGGGCACCTGTGGAGGGCTATCTTCACCATTGGGCACTCCTGAGGTTGAGGCTGAGGTGGTGGCAGTAGCAAAAGCCTCCAGGTATTGTCGGGCTCGCTCACAGTCATCCTCATCTGGGCTAGGGGCTTCTAGCCCACTGCCTTGTAGAATCTCCATGCAGGCAGCAATAACACAGGGGATTTCCAATAGCCGGGCAGCTTGGAGTACAGCCGGCATGTTGGCGCTGCTGGTGGTCAGTGTGGCTGTGTAGGCAAATTCGAGCAGGGCACCCAGGGCCTCTGGCCCTACAAAGTCCAGCTCACACACACCGGCCCCTGCTCCTCCAGCAGCTGTCCCGCCACCCCCTGTTCCCATAACAGCACCCCCCCCACCCTCGGTGAAGAGCTTCTTGAAGTAGTGGCTGCAGGCAGCTAGCACAGCCCTGTGGGTGCGGTACTCAAGACCCTGCGTCCTGATGGTAAGGTCACATAGATGGCCCAGCTGGCGCTGCTCATTGAGGCAACTCAGAAGCTCACTGCTGTGGTCTGGGAATGGAATTCCAATCAGGTCATCCTCAGGGCTCCCCATCTTCTCCTGCAGAGTCAAGTAGAAGGTGAAGTTAGGACACTTACTCTTGTAAGAGGGGCTGAGGACCCCTTCCAATGTTGGCTCACTTACTGAAGGAGGGTCACATGCCGGGAGCCTGTCCTGGCACTCGTACTGTAGACCAGGCTGGCCTTGAACTCACAAAGATCCACCTGCCTCTGCCTCCTGAGTGCTGGGATTAAAGGCGTGCACCACCAACGCCCGGCTGGACACTTTTTTTTGACCCTGTCCTGGAACTTGCTTTGTAGACCAGGCTGGCCTCGAACTCACAAAGATCTGCCTGCCTCTGCCTCCCGAGTGCTGGGATCAAAGGCATGTGCCACCATCATCACCCAGCCTTCTGGACACTTTTCTAAGTGCTTTATGTTAGTTAGTTAGTGTTCCATACCCTTCCAAAGTGTCCTTCCATGTCAAGTACAAAGGAACTGCAGTTGGAAGAGATGAAGCAACCTGCTTTCCAGGTGAAGTCCCAAGTGAGCAGGGCCTCCCGCCAGGCCCAGAGCCACCTTCCCCTTCCCAGTACTGGTACTGCTCTGGTCTGCTTCTGTTGGAGTTCCTGCCTCTCTGTTAGTTTCCAAACACACTTGCACTTCACCTTCCCACTCCCTATCTCTTTAGAAGCACTGCACTGGGAGATAAGATACCAGAGTCCTGGTTTCGGCTTCAGACAACTGAAAACTTGAGTAATGGTCTATGACAGAGCCTCTCCATAGCTCTGGTAGAGGCCAAGGAGACTTCAGACTGACATCAGACCAAAGTTGGCAAGTCAGGTATGTCTTCTTTCTGTCACAAGTATAGTATATTCTACAAACAAAAGGAGCCGTCCTTGACAGGTGGTGGTGTCACCTGTCACCTGTTTAATTCCAGCACACCTTTAATCCTAGGAGGTGGAGGCAGGCAGATCTCTGTGAGTTCAAGGCCAGCATGGTCTACAGAGTAAGTTCTAGGACAGCCAGGGCTACAGAGAAATTGTCTTATAAAACAAAACAAAACAAAAACAAAAAAAAAGAAAGAAAAAAGATAGAAAGAAAAAGCGCCACTACCCCCAAAGCCACCCAAAGTTCATCTTTCCTTCAAGATCCCCACTCCCCACATCCTCCTCCCTTCATGGGCCAAGGAGCAGCTACCTGATGCTGGGGTGTCACTGATGTAGTTACTTCCTGCCCCCCTCCACAGATAAGCATCACCCCTACTGCCGAAAGGCCAACCAAGTCCCACCTCTGCCTTCCCCCTTAAACTATACCATCTTTCTCTCCCCATTCCAGAGGACCCTGCCTCTCCAGAAGCATCCTTAGTGTTTGTTTCTGCAGGGGCGGGGAGGGCAAGAATTGAAGAGTGGCCTAGTTGAATGACCTTGAACAAGTCATTGTGGTGAGGGGTGGAAGAAGCCAGGTGTGGCACCGACAGTGCCTAACACACAGTAAGGGCTCAGTCAGTGGTCTATACTGTCCTGTTAGACAAGAAGGGGTTGGGGACACTGGGAGTGGTGGCACATGCCTTAAATACCAACACTTGGCAGAGGCAGGTGGATCTCTGAGTTCAAGGTCAGCCTGATATATATATATATATATATATAGAGAGAGAGAGAGAGAGTTACGCTCCAGGAAAGCCAGGGCTCTGTAGAGAGACCCTGTTTCAAAACAAAACAAAACAAAAAAAACAAACGGGCTGGGAAGAAAAGCTACAAAAGCTCCACCCATCAGCCCTGACATTGTCAGTCAAGAATATCGGTTCTCAACCTGTGGGTCTTGACCTCTCTGGGTGTGAATGACCCTTTCACAGGGGTCACCTAAGACCATGGGAAAACACAGACATTTGCCATGATTCATTAACAGCAGCAAAATTACAGTTGTGAAGTAGCGATGAAAATAATTTTATGGTTGAGGGTCACCGCAACATGAGGAACTTTTTGTTTATGTGTTTTGTTTTTCAGGCCAGGGTTTCTCTGGAGCCTGTCCTGGAATTTGCTCTGTAGACCATGCTGGACTCGAACTCACAAAGATCTGCCTGCCTCCTGAGTGCTGGGATTAAAGGTGGGTGCCACCACTGCCCAGCAACATGAGGAACTTTTAAAGGGACGAATGCAGCATTAGGAAGGTTGAGAACCAGTGGTCTAGACCTAATAGAGACTGGGACAGTGCTAGGCTTGGACAGAACTGTGCTCAACCAGGCTTGATTTTGAAGTCTCAGCTTAAGCAAGTGATTTTTATCTCTGCACCTCTTTCCTCATCTGTAACACTGGATAATTCCAGCTGACTCCAGGGGTTGTGGTGAGGGGTAAGTGAAGCCAGGTGTGGCATAATGCCTAACGCACAGTAGGGGCTCAGTCAGTAGTCTGGCCTCAGGGCAGATTCCAGTGCACACATGGCCTCTGCTGAGAGAACTACTGCAAGACAGGTCTGCCTCTTTCCTCCCTGAATGTACCCTGAGGGAGCCAGGTTACTAGGGAGCTACCTGACCTTGGACAAGTCACTTCCTTTCTGAGGAGGCCTATTCCTCCTATCTGTACTAGTAAAGATGAATCCTGACATCCGCAGAGCAAGTCCTACTGGCATTTTCTGTGTCCTCTTTGATTCTCCAACAGCTGATCAAACCTAGCCATCTATGAGAGTTTGGGGGGTGGGGGTGTCAGGGGCTACACATTTCCTCTTTAGGACACAGCAATTGCACTGTCTCAATGGCCTATTTGCTGGCCACCTTCACTGCAAAGTCTGAGCGCCTGCATGGGAGCGCTGAGTGAGTGGCACCCACTTGTCTCTTTGGAAGCTACACCTGGGAATCCTTGGATAGCTCACCTGTTCCCACCTTAAGTTCCCAAATCACTTTTCCTCCTCCCCAAGTACTTTATGTCTGGTTGAGAGGCAAATGGCCCCAGGACTTAAGAACAAACAAAAATCAGGTGGGCAGCAGGAGTAGAAGCAGCAGCAGTGGCTGCCACTTAAACAGCAGCGGGCACCCTCCCGGGCCCGAGTGCATCATGTTCCTCCTAAGGGGCACGGGTGGAGCTAGCCTTGCTGTCCATTGGCTGGTAGCTGGGCACCTGGAGGCTCAGGGCTCACCCCATCCTTCACCCTCCTTCCCTCCCCACCCCACCCATTCCCGTTGGTAAACCTGCCTCCTTTCTCCCACCCCAGGGCTGATCTCTGTGGCAACTTGGTATGGCAGGGGTACTGATGGGCTGAGCTTGCTGTCAGGTCACAGGCTCAGAGTGGTTCACCACCAACTCACACAGGGCTTGGGCAAGGTTGGGTGTTTAACTCCTTAGGCCCAAATCCAATGCCTATGGCCACAAGGTACCGAGGAAGGACTAGAGAAGCAGATGGCATACAGGGGAGGAGAGGGTGTTCTGGGAAATCCCCTAGCCCTGGCACCCATACCAACTGAGGTGCCACCTGGAACTATGTTGATGCCAACCAGGCCAAGGGGGCACTCCTAGCTCTATCATATGGGAGGAGTTGGTGGGGTGGAGGCCTCCCCTTCTTTCTAACAGGGTGGAGCACTGGTGCCAGTATGCCCACCCCACCTTGGGCACCCTTCCCACACCTGTATCCCAGAGGGCCCAGTCCCCTTGACGCCCCATGTAGGCAGCCCATCCCCACCCAGCCTGGCATGCCCCCTCTTGCTAAGACCTTGTGGGCATGGGTGTGTGTGGTGGTTGGGGGGGCAGCTGTGCCAGGGAACCAGGCAAGGTCTGTTTGGTCTGTTTGCCTGGTAGGGGAAAGAACTGGGGGCCCCGCCCCATCACTCCCCTCTTTCTTGCCACCCCCCCAGGCTCCCCTCATTGTCAGGCCTGCTAGACCGGCCAAGCCAGTGGGCAGCTTTCTTGAAACCGGGCCCTGTGTCAAGCCTGCACCATCTCTGGTGGGGGAAAACTCCAGGGTGACAATGGTAAGGGGTGACAAAGTTGGGAGTCCCTATCACCTACCCATCAGTACCTACTAGAGGCACCTGCCAGAGTCTGTCTACCAAACAACCAAAAGGCAGAGGGTACTGGCCGACTGAGGAAGACAAAGGCAACTAGGATCTTCCAGGTGCTGACGGTGGCGGCTTCCAGCTGAGGGGCTCCATGCTGGTCTGAGCCAGCTGAAGGGCAGGCATAGGAGGCCCTGAACGGGGCAGCTGAGTAACGCTGGCCCCCCTTCTCCCCACCTTGGGGATTAGGGGACCGAGGCTTAGTGTTGGGGGCAGCCAGCAGAACCAGGATTAGTGTCGTAGAAAATAGATGTGGGCTGATACACAGGAGCACAGAGCATCACACACACACACACACACACACACCCATTCCAAGGCCCCTTCTCCCAGCTCTGCCAGGGAACCAGAGAGGGGCCTGGCTTGGCTTTTTCTGGAGCAGCAGCTCAGAGGCCAAGAGGGTAAGGATCAGGCTGAAACACCTTCCTGCTAGGGATGACTGAGACCCAAGGCTCTGCCCAGTGTTCCTAGTGCCTGGACTGGCCACCCCTCCCCCTTCTTTCTCCTTTCTGCCCCCACCCCCAACCCCAGCTCCAGCCTCAGGTTCTCTTCCTGTTTTTTTGGAACCCAGTTTGCACGAAGCTAGGGCTTTGGCCTGTGGCTGGACCAGAGGGGTAGGGAAAAATTGGACAGCCAGTCCAAAGTACTTAGAGACCCAGGAATCCTTATTCCATGGTTCCCTCCATCCTTCTGGGGCCAAAGGGCCACTGACATCTGAACTGCCCAGTTTCAGGCAGGTGAGGTGGCAGGCCACACTGGAGGATTGGAAGAACTACCACAGAGAGGGCCAAAAGACAGGCCCCAGGGCAGGAATGCCAGACACTTGCGGAGCTCTCCCCTCCAGCCCCTCCAAACTTGAACATGCCTTCCCATCCCCCATGTGACGCTTCCCCCCTCCTAACCTCACCACCCCCAGCACTCACACTTCCTGGGGGCCGAGGCGGGGAAGAGAGACCGCAAGCCACGAAGGGGGAAGGAGGCGAGGGGAGTTGGCTGCTTCCCGGTGCTGTGGG